TACACGTGTTTCGTCATTTTATATTCATCGAAATTGTTGTCTGATTCAAATGAGAAATGTGACTGAAATAAACACCATTTTGATTTAATGCGTTAACGGAATAGCTTTACACATTCTTGTAATCTGTTTTAGTACACTGAACAAACATCATTGAATAATATTCCGTGAGAGCAGGTTTAATGGTCACGGACACCAAACGACAGAAGAAAGGGTAAAATAACCACACTCAGTACCGGCCCTCCTTTCCGGGTGGCAAAAATCATTTGGATACAAATGATTTTTTAAGAAATTAATATTCATGTTTGCGACCAGTCTTGCACGTGGTAAAAGCTTGCGAACTACAAGAAATTTCAGCGTCTTTTTGCAACTATTTTGGGGCAAGAAACAAGTCAGTTCAACGTTAGTACCTTGAATTCCGTCAGTTAATTCAAGGCAGACTTGCGTTTCTTTGAAGTTGGCGAAGCAAGGCAGTGGTTTAAATTCGACCTTGTGGATTTATGGATGTCATTTTATCACGAAACTCCTCGCGGTAAGTTACCAACGAATAAATTCCTTAATGTAAAGAAACACAGTTTAAGTGCTTTTGAAATTTAACAACGGAGTCAAATGTTAAAGGAAGAATATTTTGTACACTTTTAAAGAGTGAGACACATCCTCACTAGTGGCCGCCATGACAGCTTTTATTGAATCACGTGACTTATAAGGAAAAATCGAAAACTTCGCAGTTTATAGTCGAGGTATCGTCCGTTCGTTTTATTTACTGGTATATCTATTTTTATCAGTGTGCTTCTTTTAATACTGTATGCAGTTAAACCTATCAACCCCTGAGAGTGATAAGCCCCTAATTTCTCCCTTACACAGTTGTCCCCGAATCACACATTTAGGTCACAAGAATATAGGAATTGATCACCAACTAAAGAAGCTCTTAATTGTTCAACAAATTCTCCTTTTCAGCGTCTTCGAAAATGTATAGAGTAATAGTATGGAGAGTTTGCATACTGATGTTAGGGTGCAAGGGGTTAATATATATGCTGATGGTGTTTTAACATTAACTTGCTGTAGTTTAATTGTGCTTTTTTTATTTCGCCCGCCTCTTTTATAGAAGCTAAAAGCCATTTTTCTCGAGTGGACATTGGGGGCCTTATTCCCATTTCCAGACAGGATTGTATAGCTTCTTGTTGTCTCCCAATCCTGGGCGTGTGGCAATAATCATTGTAATTTTATGCCATAGCAGCTAAACATGTCCATCTCTTACAAAGGGATGACCTCTATCTCGCGTATCTTTATTCCACCTGTCTTAACCCTTTAACCTCTACGAGTGACTAGCATCTAATTTCTCCTTACAATATCACCCCTGAATCATGCAATAAGATCATGAGAATACAGGAAATGGTCACTTACTAGAGAAGCTCAAACAAATTCTCTTAATCAGCTCCTTAGGGATTGTATAGGGAACAGTATGGAGAATATGCACACTGATATTAGGGTGGAAAGGGTTGAGGATGTATGAGGATGGATCACAGTATCAGACCCGCACCTTATCTGACAGTATTTCGAAGAACGCTATCTATCTTCCTTCATTAATCCCTTTACACCCTAACATCAGTTTGCATATTCTCTATACTGTATTCTATTCATTTCCCAAAGTGTTGACAAGGAGAATTTGTTAAACAATCAAAAGCTTCTCAGGCTGTTGATCGTTTTCCTTATTCTCATGACTTTAATGTGTAATTCAGGGTGATCTTGTAAGGAGAAATTAGATGCTGGTCACTCTTAGGGGTTAAAAGGTTAAACAAGACTATCACTGTTAGAAATGAGGGATTCAACCTAGTTTTTCCTTTTCTTTCGATTACAAATAGTTCTCAACCCAAAAACAGGCTCTATGCATGTAATTTTTGCAAATTCCTCATTTTTCTTCTTTGTAGGACAGTAGGAAGCGCAGGATGAAAATAAGCAGTTAAATTGAAGGAAAGAAAAAAGGTTAACATCTAAAAGGTTGGTTTTGCAATATTTGTTACAATGTCACTTATCAGAGGAAGACAGCACAACAGAATAACTTCCAACAAGGTTAGAAATTTAGTTCATTCTTAAATTTTTTTTTTTTTTTTTTTTTTTTTTTTTTTTGTTGTATTAATCAGAGTGAGCCCGGCAATCCCTGTTCTGTGTTATAAAGGATTTATGAACTCATTCGAATTGAAAAAAATAACATATTTTGTTTCCCTCATTCACAGTTAACGATCTGCCAATTACGTTGGGTTGGTCTGCATTAAACGATTACACCTTGATTAAACGAACGTCTGCAACTTTCAAATGTAAGACAGCAGAAGAAAACCTACAAACGAAGAAAAACAGTCATATTTCTTTTATTTTTGTTTCCTTAGATATCTCTATCACGTTTTAATTGGTTTTCAGTGGTCGTGAGACTAAGGTTGTTTTAATAAATCAGACTACAATTTTGTCTCTTTGATATTAAAACACTGGTGTCAAAGAAATACCCAGCGCTTTGGTGCATGTTATGATCATTCATCTTATGGTTGAAATTACTATAGCAACGGCTTAGCTGGTCGAATGCTCGTTAATTTCAAGAATATGTTGATAGTCAGAATAAGCTCAGTTATCCCTTTGACATAGATTGCCTCGGTGAATATGCAACACGAGAAAAGCTGAGAGAGCTAAGACTGATAATAGTCTTGTGTCCTACGAACAAACGAAATCCCAAGAATGTATTCCGACTCAAATTGTTGGCAGAATTTCTTCGTATATCTGCGATAAGCTTAAAGTTCCACTAAGTATTTCATTTTTTTTAATTGAAAAAGAAACCTCTTAATTTAGCTTTAATCAGCCAGACAATTGGAACCCGAATGTGAAAAAGTTTTGATCTCCGGGGCTAACACCAAACTCACCTTGAAAATTCTCGAATTATTTAAATCATTTGTAATTCTTTATCTATTGTTTTGTTCTTTTTTTAGGCTCCTATAAATTTAATGCGCCTGTTATTTTTAAGCAATGGTGTTTTTACTCGATTCAATGATAATATTGTCACCTCTTTTTGGCTGAAGCCAAATTCAATATCAACTTTTTTGAGGATCCTTTCTAGATCTCTTTTTCTTTGAATAAGACCAGTTTGCTTAATTCAGTGAAAACATTGAAACCTTGTCGTGTAGCGTTGAGACTCTGGAGGCTGAAACTGAATAAAATGAACTTGTATTGCCATAAATAAATATAGCTAAATTGTTTCAAGAATTCATTTTCAAAGCACGGAAAGGTATTTACTATTGAACGAGATTTGACCCTTTCTACTTTTTCAGCATAGCTCGGAACTTTTTTTAAAAAATGCATCCTCACTCATAATTTCAATTTCCAGGTGCCCGATTTTTTTATCACCTCACCTAGAAATGATACGACTCTAAACCAGGCTGACTCTAAACAAAGCTGGTTTTAAATGACAACAAAAATTTATCGGAAAATTAATTGGATAATTTTCGAACGAGGGAGAGTAAATCAAAGGAACAGATGACATGATTTCATTTTAAAAGATCATTTGTATTCAAATTATTTTCCCACTCTGAAGGGCGGGCCTACACTGAATGTGGTTGCGTCACCCTTCCTTCCTTTTGTCATTTGGTGTCCATGACCATTAAACCTGCTTTCATGCGGAATGATATTCGATGATATTTGTACAGTCTACTAAAAAAAATTACAAGAATGTGTAAAGCTATTCCGATAACGCATTAAGTCAAAAATGGCGTTTATTTCAGTCACATTTCTCAGTCGAATTAGACACAATTTTTATGAATGTAAAGTAGTGAAACATGTGCAGCGTTCCAATTTGTCGCGTTTTAGAGATGGAATCGTTATTGACGAGCTTAAGATGCGTAAAACAAAGATGTGGTAGATTATCGAGTTGTACCATACGTGAATTTTTTTTTTTACTGTAATCTTCGATTAAACTCTGTATGTTTTTGATTGGGAGCAATTAGGTGATGAGTAATAAGCTATCGATAGAAATATTGAAAAAAAAATTAATCAAGTAGGAGTTAGAATTAAGATTTCCAGGCTAGAAAAACACCAACAAGGTGGAAATAAAGCAATAAGAACAAGGATCGCTAAATATGGCGAGAAATGACATTGATTGCAAATTATGGTAAAACTCAGGCCTCCATTTAAGCTAAATACCCTACTGATACCTTATTAATTCCCTTGCTACGCAGGGTATCAATAGAGAACTTATTTACTGGCGTTTATAAATGTATAAATAGCACTCCTCTAATTGTTTCTCTAGTAGAAAAGGAATCTTTCCCTTGTTTAAAAAGCCTCCATCGTCCAGCTTCTTCCAGCTCTTTAAACTTTTGTATGTAATTCCTCTCTTCCAAGAAGCTTATATTGAAGCACAATAAGCCACCTGCAAAACGTTACAAAAAGTTATTTCGCCGAAAACAGCTGGGTATTAGAGATGTCGTTTTCTTGCAACTCCATTGTTGCCGTGTTGATTGGTTCGACTGGACCAAGGGGCGTGGCTAAGGGGAGTTAGGAAGCCTCTTTCCCTCATCTTTTCTAAAGACAATAGTCAAACGAACGTCCTAATTCGAAAACGCGCGCACCCGAAAAATCTACACGACATGGAAAAGATTGCCTTTGATAAACCACAGCGTGGGTGTTGATTAAACAGTAGGGTAGGCAAGATAATTTTTTTTAATCAATTGAGTTGATAATATAAATCGGACACCGTTAAGAGTTTCTAAGTTGACATTACGAGCGTTGGCCCTTCGTCAGAGCGAAAAGGAAGGGCCAACGCTCGGAACGCCACCTTAGAAACTCTTTACGGTGTCCAATTTATATGGTTTACTCAGTTGATAAACGAACTTATCTTGTTATAATCCACCACCGACGCAGCACCACAGTTTCTTTAGATAAAAATCCTCGCCACACACTGGGATCACATCACCTATTTAAGATGTAGAGAAGCTACAAAGAACGAGCGGAGGAATGGGGAGGAATCTTTATCCTTCCTTACCAGGCTTCACCATCATTAGCATCTCGCTAAAAGCACTAGGTTGAACTTGCCCAGCACATACTGCAGAGCTGCATGTCAATGCATCATACTCCGCGGTCTCGATACCGTTTATCTGCTGATCATTTACGGCAGTGCAGATGAGTTTGGTGTAAACTTTCTTGTTTTTAGCTCTGTTTAGCATTTCTTGTGACATGTCAAGGGCGTCAATATAAGTATATCCAAGTTTGTTTAATTCTAAACCCAACAGTCCTGTTCCAGCCGCCACGTCAAGAACTTTAAAACTTTTCTTGTCGACATCTGGAAACAGATTGCACACTGTAGCGTCGAAGTGCCTGGCAAACGGCCGAGGTACATTGTATTCGGTTCCTGCATGATCTGAATGAAATAAAACAAAAAAAGTAATGTGACGCTAGCGACAGGTTTTTTTTTATTGTACCACCAGTTCCCTGTCTAATGATCAACGCTCCGTGTTACCTGATCATATTGTTCTGCCCATTCGTCGAACAGTCGGATGACTTCGTTGAGCGAAGATTCATTTGTAAATAGCCAGAGTTGATCATGATAGTACTTGAAAATCTAAAGATAAGATGATAACAATTTTAATGAGGTAGGCTGCGAGGGTCATCTCTTTTCGCCCTATGGGGTCTCACTATATTCGTAACGTATTCTACAACTGTAGTTGTAATGTATTTACAAAACTGTAAACTAGTAAAATTAGTGTACAGACTAGAATGACCACAGGGGCTTACAAAGCTCTCTCTTGGTTTCTGACCTCCTCAATGTAAACAGATGTTGGTCGTCATTAAAAGCCTTCTCAGTCCTTACTAACATGATACGATTCTAATCATGCCATGTTACACAGGTGAGGGTAACTGGCGGGGATTTTGCGCGCTAATTCAAACGGCAAGTCCCCAATTTGAATACGAGCGGAGCAGCTGCGGAGAAGTAGCAAGAACTGGGTGACTCAGTGAAGTGACCGAGGACTTTCTTTCTTAGATTGCGGAAAATCGCCCTATCTCTTAAGGAAATGTCAGGGGTGGGGGCTTTGCCATTATAGCTTTACGGTGAAACTGAAATGCCATGTATTCTTCTGTTCCACTCGTATTATACTCTATGGTGAAATACACATGGACAATTGTACCACTCCACTTGTTTAATTTTGGAATGTTAAGAACCCAGAGATTCACAGAAAACAGTCCAAAAGGAACACAGTCACCTCTCAAACGGGAAAAAAAAAAAATTTACTTCCTATAGGCAGTTGGGGAAAAAGAAAAAAACTCCCACAAGTGATCAAGACAGAATTTCTCCTTTCAATATCAATACAATATCAAGCAGAAAAGTGACGAGAAGAAAGTTAAACAACAATTTGGGGATTAAAAGTTGATCCAACACCAAATTCTCAGAACTAACATTATAAGAATTGTATGACAGATAGTAAAGAGAATTACTTATGAAAATTTGAAAGTGAAAGGTTTAACAAGAGACATAAAACTGAATATTCTCATTTGAGTGGTTGTCATCACCAACAATGCAAGATTCTAAATTAACCCTTTAACTCCCAGAAGTGATTAACATGAAAATTCTCCTATAATATCCATACATTATTCAGCAAACAGGAAATGAGAATATACAAACTTTTCAGGTTAAAGCTGCTATTTTGATCAAGCACCAAGTTCTCATGACTAATTTACAAGGAAATGTGTAGGGGCGAGATTTAACAATCAGATCTTGGAAAGAGTATCAGGTTTAGAAATGTGTTAGTGTCAACGGCTAAGTGATTTTATGATCTGCCAATGAGAGGAAAAAGGTATTCTTGAGGAATTCGGTGAATATCATTCCTGACTACCGGGCAGTTAGGGACCGGTTGGTTACGTCGAGATAAAATTAACCAATTCACCCCTCTCCCCCCCCCCCCCCCACCTTATAGGCTCTGTAGTGGGCTAATGATCCTCCTCATGGGCAGTCAGTTTCCCTTAGTCCCCCCTTTTAGACTTTATAGGCAATCATGTGACTCCCCCAACCCCCCAAAAAATCCCTAACTCCACCCCTCCTCCTCGAAGGGGACGAATAGTGACTGGTCCCTCAGTTTATTTGAGACCGTGCCCCACTGCGAAAAACATCAAATAGACTTGTCACGCATTCCAAGGTAGACCATTCACCGCGCTATTGGATTTGATACTGGATCATTTCATCGACGTAAGACTATTCCATATCAGAATATATGTACTCATAACACCAAATCACCCCTCTAATCCGTCAGCGCCGTAACAGTCGTTTGCTATTTTCTGTGTCATTTTATACATTACGCAACGTAATCATGTTCACTGTCACGCAAGCATACAACGAGTGACGATCTTGCTGACATTCTTTCAAAGCTGGTTCACGCAATGCTGTTTCATAGTACAGACGAAAAAGCCTCCTCTTTTATCAAGTGGCTATTATACCTGGAGGCCATAGCTATTAAAATTAGGTATAAAACTTTACGGCCGACTGGCTACATAACATAAAATTCGTTTGTAGTATCCCAGGGTCATGCTCGGTTAATCTGGGTATTGTCATGTGCGTGACATTTCAGCAATATCATACCGGCAAAATTATTATCATACCGGACGACAGCGAAAACGCCGGTAATCCTCACCGATCGCCTAGGCTTCTTTCGTCAAAAGAGAACCAGGCTTTGCACGGGTGTTTTTGAATTGACCTTGGGGAGAGCTTGAATGATTGTGACTGATGTAATCAAAGGGGTATAGATGTCGAATTTTTGGCTGAGGTAAATATTTCATCTGAAGCAACTGGCTTGCATCGATTCAGTTCGACACGAATCGACTAATTAAACCCCAGATTCACTCTTCAAGAACAAAGGGAAAAAATGGGCTTTCTTACCTTACTCGCCATTTATATTTGATCTTACTTCATAACACCACGTTTAACCAGAGCAACCATAACCTGATATTGATTTCACCGTCAGGTTTATTTCAGGGACGGGAGGGTGAAGATTAAAATATAGCAGGAGATGGGTGGGGTTAAGGCATCTTGATTTGGATATCATCCTTTTTCGGTGATGTCAATTTCACGAATTAACCACAATTCTCGCATGTCTATCCTTTTAATGACTATTTGAGTTAGAATTTTTGGCGTAATTTCTGCTATTATAGCTTTAAGAGATTGACATCAATTATTTTCAACACAAAAATTAGCGAAAAAAAAATGTACGATGTTTCCACATCGTCGGATCTCAAAGTCAAGTAAATGTGTAGCTATCGTTAAGTGCCAACGAGACAAGTCAAGGCTTTGACCGTTTGGCACGCTGGCCGGTAGATCCACAGATGGCCCAAGCTTCAGCTGTGAGAAGACCATCTTGCGAAATACGAGTCATGGCGAAATTTTAAGAGTTTTTATGGGAATATTTACGACTGCTCTTAGGAATAAAAAAAAAATACAGTCAAATTCTCAATGAAAATACCTCACCTTACTTTCACAGTGCGTTGCTTGTTATCTGACAGCTTTCTATGTTGAAAATAACCAATTTTAGCGAGTTCTCCATTTCAAGGTTCACCGCATAAGAGAAGCCCAAGGCGGCACGCGCCCGATCCGAGAGGCGAAAAATCCAAGCTCCAAATGACTGGGCGGCCACAAATCCAATAATTTGTTGGATCAATTGTAAGAAAGAGAGGAAAGAGAGAAGAAAGTTGGGATCGATTCACTACATATTTGGTAGAAAAGTCGGGTAGCAATTTCTGTTTAAGCTTTAAAAAAATACAGTCGAACTTGTATTTTAATACAGGTTAAACTGTACTAGCGGCACGTGCACCCACGGGGAATGGCGGGATGACTGATACAGTTCACAGAATAAAGGTATTGTTAAAAACGATAAAAACGACATATTATGCCATAATTGACCACTTAATGCTCATGAACTCGCTCAAAAATACTACTTGTGTTGACTTCGGGAGATAAACGAGGATTAAATTTTACTCGAAAGATTCTTCCTAGTTTCGAATTCATTCTAGTAGTTCCGCTTTAATGACCGTTCAATACAGGTGGAGAACGATACAAGTAGGCCATTGGGACTCAGTCAAGGGTGACTACGACCACTTAATCCTTTAACTCCATGAGTGACCAAGACAGAATTTCTCCTTACAATATCTATACAATATTAAGCAAATAAGTGATGAGAAGAAAGAAAAAGATCAATTTGGGGCTAAGTAGTCGATCCAATGCTAAATTCTCTGAACTAATATTATAAGAATTGTATGGTTGATAATAAGAGGAATTACAAATTTGATCTGGGAGTTAAAGGGTTGATAAGAATGAAAATTACAGTAATTAGTGGGGAAGAATCTCGAGAATTTGAAAACCGACTGCCCTATACAGGGTGACTGCTTAATACAAGTTCGACCGTTCAAAATTTGAACGTGAGAAGATGTAACTGAGATTTTGAAAGGGCAACAAAGAGTGCAGCGAGATTACGTCCTCTTTCAGCCGGGCAAACATCATCATTAAGTGATGTTCGTTAGTATTCATAAGCCCATTTTATCTTTCGTGACAGAAACAGCACGACTATCATTACTTGATAGTAAGGGTTAATCAACCGTGAACAAGTCGAATACTCTGCGTTCAGTTGGAACTTTGCTATATTGGTCTTTAACTACGGGAAGCGAGGAAAATTTCAGAAGATAATACCAAATCTGGCAAAGTAAAAATTTCCCTCTCAGTATAAATTGTATAATCCTGATTAAAGTCGATGAAAATTCAAGAAAATGTACCCACAGTTGTGGTTGTTACCCACAATGCAGTATGAACCTAATTCTTTTCTGTAACGGAAAAAATCTTGCCAGCCGAAAAAAAAAAAAAAGTTCCAATTGTTCCCCGATATTGTTATTCTTGACAATTTTGTTTTGTTCGTAGAAGAAATAATTTTCAGCAGAAAGAAACATTCGCAAAAATGAAAATTCGTGATCGGTCCCTCATATTATCTTTAGAACCAACAGTTTGTGATGTGCAACCTGCAGGTCTTTTAATTTCTCAAGACCAGATCTTATGTTTTAGTCATTAAGAAACTACCCTGTTGTAAAATAAAAATTAACTTGTTAAAAATGACACTGTTGTGATACTCGGGGTCAGAACACCCGCGAGACAGGTGTACTCGCTACGCGGATTGGCCATAAAAAGGCGACGTTCTCTTGGATTTCTTTTTAATAGGTGTGCCACCAAATGGGGTTAAGAAGTTTGCCTGGGGTCAGTAAGCTAACGCCAAACTAAATACTGACTACCTCGAAGGCGAATTAGGATTTTGATTAAAGACAGTCAGAAAGAAGGAAATATGAAAGAAGAAAAAATAACGAAAATTGCATTTTTGCTTATGGTGGCGCAGATTTCTTTAGCCGTGGAATTCGAAACATTCGCAGCGTTCTCTAACCACAAACAAGGAAAAAGCAGGTACAATGTTTAAAAATCTTGATTTGACGCAAATTTCTCCTTCGTCTTTTAACGTTTTCGAGCATTTCTGTCGATTTTTTTTATACATTCATTTCCGGCTCCTATACAACCTTCTAACCAATTTCCGATCCTAAATCACAGAAATGACGAGAAGACAGTCAACTGTTGTCCAATTATTGGTAAGTGAGTAAGCAAACTTTTTGAAAAATAATAATATGCCAGTGAAAGGGTTGTCGTCATATGAAAAGGTCTGTTATCATTATTGTAGTTTGGCTGTCTTGCCAAGACTTGTTTGGTCATACGGTGAAACTACAATTATATTCTTCTCTTGCTTTAGAAACGGAAGTAAGAACTGCGATTTGGCCTTATGAATTAATGAATAAAACGCCTCTGAAAGACACTCTTATCAATACTATGCGCGATGTTTTCTTAGGAAAAATAGAAATAAACAGCGAGCACCGTCTTATAAGACAAAGGAAGGGGAAACACCTATAAGCTCGAGCATAACGCTTGATTACGTCACGAGCGTAGATTGACAAAAGGATAATGAAAGGTCATTCATTTATTATTGTTTCCTATCTCTGCTTCACTGAAGGCGTGCTCGCTCAAGAAACGGATGGAAATGTGACGAAATTCGGAAGTCAATTAATTGCAGCCACTTACGCCAAGTTTATCGAGTCTGCAGGAGGGAGAATGGTGCCTATTTTGTATCCTTTATAAATCTGGCCCTCTTGGAATCATGTATTTGCTCAACCTCTTAAAGATGTGACTTAACTTGACATAACTTGCCTCTCTCCACCCGGGAGTATAAATGGATACCGGCGAATTATCAGGGTAGCCTGATTATAACCGAGGTCATGCAAAGAATCGAGAGATCCTTCCGAACACGAAGGAAGGAATCCCCCGACGGGGTCTTAATACGATAAGCTCCGAACTGTTTATTTTTTTAAGATTATTTCAGATATAGCAGTTATTCACGGACGTTTTCATAAGTTTCCCTCAGATTACTTACGAAAAGGTAGGCCTGTTTGGCCAAGTGCCTTTCGAGGCCGCTACTTAATGGCGAAACTTATTGTCATACCGTTTCCCTGTGTGTATAGTGTTTTTACGTTTCATTACGATATGAGCTCCACTTAAATAGATAGAACATTCTATATGATTAGATAAAATGCTTTTTTTAAATCAGTAGCAGCATGGCTACGCATAACATGATAAATAACGGAACATTCCGGAATATTCTGGAACATGACCCTATAGGGAAAGAAGCGTTCCTTGTGAACGTTTTATATTTAAAAAAAACTGGAATAAATTACAGCTGGATAGGACTCTTGGCTCAAATGCAAACTTTACCTTTTACTTATACTCATTTACTATGAGTCCATGAACCATGAGCCCATGAAATAATTTCCCTGAAGGCCATGGTTGCTATTGTGCAAAAAAAATGGATGAGTCAGGAAAAGAACATGGAAACCTTTCTCAAAGCTTTCTCCCCTACAAAACTGACAACATCTCTTTAAATTCACAGAGGTTTCCATGTTTGATTTTCTTGTGGTCGTGTTGTCGGCTTGTTCAGGGCGTTACACGTCAGTATGCTTAACCGGGGAGACTTTCTGTAGTCTTTATAACATTCCCAGCGATTTGTTGTAAATGTGTGATTCTTAACCCTTAAATCAACATCCTGCAGCATTAACTCCACTGCTAAAGAAATTGAAAAATTATTTTATTCAATTAATGGGTAAGTAGAACGACAGTCAAAGCCGACCTCAAAAGATGGAACCGGCAAAATTCTTTACTATTAAGGTATTCTTTACGGTTACAATAGAAAGACCGGAAACGTGGTATGGTGTAAACGTCGATTAAGACTATCATTTGTCACAATGTTCGCTCTCGCTTGTTTCAAGGGCGTAGGCGAAATTAAGAGAAGGGGGGAGGGTCTGCTTACAGCTTACGCCACTTTCTGAAATAATTAGGGTTTTTATCATTATAGTTTTATTATTTTGCGGTCTACAAAATTCACGTTTTATGAATCAGATTTGCAAAAACGTGAAAATCTTAAGAGTCTTTGTGGCGCAACTTTTCTCCGGTGTCAGATACCCTATTTGCTGGTCCCTCTCACTGCTTAAATATCAGTCCTCTGATACACAATATAGACCCGCGTTATAAGCCACCTCATGTAAGACACTCGGAAATTCATACCTGGGATACCTCCTTTTAAAAAACCCTTGCTATTGCGCTACGAACCTATACTGCCTCATCCCCACCCACCACCCCCCCTTCACCGGGCCACTTCTCATCATACATTTCATTTGTTCCTCATTCTCGACTTATTTTACTTTCGCTACTTTTCCTTGTCTATGACTTTTACGTATTTTAGTGCCATATATCCCGGAGGTCATAGGTTGTTACACCACACAAACTACACACGAGTAGGGAAACAGATATTAGAGCTGGCAATGAAGGTAAAGTTTCAAAACCAAATAAATTAACTTCTACGGTGATTTAGTGTTATCAACTGAGTTGATAGCGTAAATCGGCCATCGTAAAGAGTTTAAGAGCTTTTCAACTCTTTACGGTAGCCAATTTACGTTATTAACTCAGCTGATAATACTAAATTACCCTGTTATACTCTCCCACCGACGCAGCACCAAAGTTTCTTCAGAAACTTACCCTCTTTATTCAGTAAACTTCCACAATTCTTCCACTAACTCGCGCTGAAGTATGTCACTTGTAGATCAGTTTAGGTACCCTAATCTCCTTCAGTGAGAGTGATTTGTTATTTATAATATTTATCAAGCAATAGTTTTTGGAAGGAAGAAGCCTTAAAGATATGTCAGTGAAATGCAGCCATTTATCATCACCAAGCTGAATGGAATGAACAAAAAAATGCTACTTTGTGAAAACGCAAATTAACCTGTCAATTAAAGAACTAAATTGTGTCCCTGAACCACTAAGAATGGCAGCCTATGATTTATATTTAGGCACTTTTGTTGGAATCTATCCAAATTCATCTTAAAGCAAATTCTCTCAGTACTAAATTAATACTATTATATTCCTGTTATTATTATTGTTATTATTATTATCATTATTATTATTATTATCATTATTATCAACATTATTATATTCATCACTATTATTATTGTCATCTAATGATTAAAATACACGATCCAAATTTATCATTATGAAAAAGAACCAAATGGTGCACAATTGCCAAGAATACATCATCTAATTAATAATGATAAAATTATTATTATTATCTTTTTTTTGTCGTTACTGATGATGGTTATTTTTGGATCTACTCGCTCTTCGACCATCTGTACCAAGTTAATTACAAAAGGATCCCAATTGGCTGATGGGTTTTACGGTAGTGGTTTAAATTTTGGCATTTTAATGACTAATGGTTATCACAAAATGACACAAAATGACACATTGTAAGAGAGTAAAATATTTTTACGGTTAACTTTTATCACGACTTTATCAGTTTTTACGCATAACGTTTAAATTTTATGATCGTTTCACGGCTAACGATGAACTCCATGGAGACCCTCTCAGAAAGTGAACAGCTTTTTATTACAAAGTATAACAAATATTTTTACAAAGTGCGACGATTTTATTACAAAGTACTTCAGGACAGAGGTAGACATGCAAACCCTTACAGGAAATTCAATTTCGCTGTCATTTCAGAAAAAATGTCATTCCAATATCGTTACACACAGATTTCTTTTCCCCACTGCAGGCTTATGATAAAGGCGATATCTTTCCGATCTGGGGAGAATGTCTGGGCTTAGAGTTGCTTTCAATGCTGGTTGCTGGTAGAGATTTACGAGTGGGGCAACTGGACCACGAATTTTTCAGCGAAGTCGATGCAAAAAATGTCAGCCTAAAATTAATTCTTCCAAGAAGTTGGTGATGCATCTGTTTTATTATTTATATTAACGATCATGTAGCCAACTAGTATTTCAACTCTGTTATAGCAGTACCGCCACTGTTTTTGTTTAGTTTTGGTGGATAACGCTTATCTGTAAGATGGATTCAGGTGATGCAATAACATCTTTAGAAAAGAATTCCAAAGACATTCCGAAATTTTAGTTTGTAGAATAACCCTCCGGGCATTTCAAAACTCTTCCTGTAAGCTTAATGTTTTTGTAGTCAAACGAACCTTACTTAGCTCGCTTTCTGATGGATGACTGAGCACTGGACATTGGCCCGATGTTACAGGGATCTTCAAACTGTACAGTTTATCAAGAGGTTCTTTATGGGGTCAACCTTTGGCCGTAAAGCAGCAAAAAAATTTACAGTCAGCCATAAAATGGCAGGAATCTTAACTATTAGCCGTAAAGGCCATCACCCTTTTATCAAAACATTCGATAGATTAAATTCGCAGCAAAGGGGCACTTGAATCGTAAGATCACAGTTCGGTTTAAGCTGTCAAATAGACACAGATGTGACCCTCGACTGATACAAATCATTTTCGTTTTGCAGATTATAAAACAACTTCTCTATGGAAATTTGCTCCGAGACACGTTGTGAAATTCTTACAGAATAACAATGCAGCATACAACAATCACAGGAAGGCCATCACACTACAGGTTAGATGAAATTTTATTTCTTCTATCCTTGACGGAGGAATCTAAGTTATTATTATTATTATTATTATGATTATGATTATTATTATTATTATTATTGTCATCATATTATCGATTTTTATTTTGGCACAATTTATTGCGACAGTTTTAAGGGAACAGTCCGTTTATTTTTTGCTTGGTGTTAGAGGGGGGTTTGGGATGGATCACATGGTTTTCAGGGGGTACGGAACGGGGATCACTCATTGCCAATTGCAACATAGCACAATGGGGAACTATAGAAAATTAACTGCACAATAATTGCTAATAAGGAGGAGCATAAGAATATTACAGTCAGCCTTCTAAGGTAAATTTCATTGTGACATCATCCAATCCTCCCCCCCCCACCCCCTGACAAAAATATCAACCGGTCCCTAAACCGAAAAAATTATCGTATTGTTAATTTTGAGATCTTTCGAACAAGTTTTTTTAGTGTTAGTGATTCTGTAGATGCGAAAATAAGGATGTAATGTTCATGTAAACCGGAAGTTATCGATACCGGATGTTCGCTAGGAACTATGGGATATATGTAGCAGAACGATCATGGCGTCCACCGATGCTGTAACACGTCTTCTTACAACTGTTTATTAAATCGTTGTAAATCGTTTGCATCTTGTTTTGAAATCCATTCAAAACATCACAAAGGACAATAAAAATAGAGAAGAACAGTATTGAGAAGTTTTAGCATCCATTACAGGACCTCCATGCTAAAGAACAACACCCACTAAACAGAGGGAAAGTTAATCTTAGCCTTGTGATTTAACCCTTAATCTAATCCCCTAAGAGAGACTAGCATCTGATTTCTCCTTACAGTACAACCCCTGAATCAAACATTGGGGTCACGAGAATAAAGGAAATGATCACCAACTTAAGAAGCTCTCGATTGTAAAGCAAATTCTCCTTGTCAGCACCTCAAGAAATGTATAGCGAACAGTGAGGAGAATATGCATACTAATGATAAGGTGTAAAGGGTTATTAAGTCTTTACATCCTCACTTGTTTCAGATAATACATTGACCCATACTACTCTGTTCTTTTGCGCCAGAATTATGGCAAGTACAGACGTCTAAATGCTTTTTTCAGAATCGTTTCAACCAGCAAAGATCGCAACGGGGTTGAATTTATTTCAACTATGGAAGGTAAGAACAAAAAGTATAAGGAATCTTAAAAAACAAACCCAAATATCATAAGCTTCGTCTGGCTTCCTCGCTACAATAGTTGACTCTTTTCAAGTTACAGTTTGTTCTGAAAAAATTATCAGTTCTAAATTTCTTACTTGTAATGTTTTTGTGCAAATAGAAAAGATAGATAGGAAGAATTCTTTTATCATATACTTTTGGTGATGGCAAGAGTCTAATTGTATTATTTACAGGTAAGCGTTATCCCGTCTACCTTTTCCACTGGCACCCGGCTAAATCCCAGTTTGAATGGCGCAGAGATCTGGACATTAATCACTCGCTGGCCGATGTTCTTTCAGGCCAGTATTTTGCAAATTTCCTAATTCAAAAAGGTGAGCTTGGGAAAAGATTTTAGTTCCTCTTCCATAACAAAAAATAGCTGTAACTGATGGCAGATAATTTTTTAATGATATTCCAGTGCCATTATTGTTATAATGATCCGCTGACCAAAAAAAATCTCAGTAATCAAATTACACAAAACTAGTGGATCAAAATGCAGAGACGGAACTAGAAAAAATAACAGAAACTCAGGCAACGATCTCTTCTATTCAAAGCACGTGATTCAAGGCGAAAAAATGCTTCCCTACATACGGGGGATCAGAGTCAAAACAACACGTCACACAACATGTCACAACCAACGATGAACAACACCTGAACTTTTTGTTATATTTTGCTTGTTTTGCCTAAAAATTGAATTGAATTGGAATCATTGTTTATTTGCTTTAGTGTGATCGGTTAATTTCGTTTAAGTGATCCTGGTAACAGCAGTGAACTTATGAGAGTGCTGCGATCTAGACATGTTCTATTCTGAGCTTGTAGTATCATGGAAGAAGATACTTTATTTATTAACCCTTTAAGAGTAAATGTCAGTAAAAATCAAGGAAAATTCAAAAAACGTGGCCACGGTCAAAAAATCGATTGCGCTCATACTTTGTCAGTTTGAAGGCCTAGGTAAGTAACTGAAGGATATGAGGTTAGTTTTTTGAAATATTCCATATAACGGCAGAAAACCACGAAAAACGGTCACCCTACCGGAAGCTCGGATTTCACCTGGCGGAAACTCGAAATTTTACACTTTTCAGCTTCTCGCTACACAGACGTTTACATAGCTGTGAATCTTTCTTAAGTATAATTGACTACATTGATTCTTCCTTAGTCAAACCATGGGAATTATTTTTATCTCTGCTTATTTGTGAGCGAACTGAGACCCGATGAAGAAGACACACTTTTCTCATTTACGCGAAGGTGTAAAGTAATCCAAACTCAGCGACGAAAAAAGCTGACCGGTAGTTCTTCAAATCTTCTGATATTATAACCAGAGACAGTTCAGTCATTGATTTTTAGGTCTACGGTTTTAAATCTTTAGGATCTAGTAGCGCTTTTGCATGAACGCCGATCAAATTCGATAAAATTCCAATTGAGCGCCTTTGAAATCTACAACTCTACATAACAAAGCACTATTGAATAAATTAACTCCTCGGCCAAAGTTTGTACATAAAAAATAAGGGTTTTGCTTTTTTAGCGGTTTGAAGCGTTTTAAAAATATATATTAATGTTAAATATTGTCTACACAGGTAAAACAAACTATGAAACACCAAAATTACCACGAGCTGAAATTAAATTTGACAGGCTCGCTCCCTAATCTGCGTCACGCACGAGCGACTTAGCTACAACTAGAACAGTAACAAACAGATATTTACATCCGTTGATTTTAAATAAGTCGTATTTTTAAAATATCTTACTCAAAGATGTGCCAGGTTTCCCAGTTAACTTGCTGAAAAAAAAAGGAAACCTTAATAGTAATTCTAGCTCAATTAGAATTGATTTTATTTAGTATGAGAAGTTTTGTGCCGTCGAAAACCAATCGGAAGTAACTGTTTCCACGAAAAGCAAATATTGCATCGTTCTCTAAATAAACAAATCTACTTAACCATATAACCAGAGTATGTTGTTGGCGAAGTTAATAGACATACATAACAACGACGTCTTGCTCGTTCTTGAATATTGTCGGTGGGATTTGCGGCGCAGACGAACGCACTTGCTAAGTAACTTCCAATGGCTAATTTCTACCCTTACTCAGCTTTCGTCACACTGCTCACGCTGTGTAACAAGGATATAAAACATCGCACGAAGTCCTAAAAAACTCTCCGGACTTGTTTTTAAAAGCCAACGAGTTTATTGGAGATGACTACCCGTACCGTCTCATCGTGTCACTTAGGCATAACCTGACACGATGTCGATAGTTTCGACTCCTGATGGCCGAGAGCACTCGGATTTCTTTTTTCCCGAGTACGTCTGTGTCACTTACTGAATAATACATCATTCTCATTTATTCACCAGGCTTAAAAATATTCCATCACATTTATTCCATTGCGCGTATGCCACACATGACATTCCAATCCTAGCAGTATGCAGGATGTTTGTCCCATGAAGCACTCGGATTTTTTTTCCTATTATGCCAGTGTCACTTACTGAGTAATACATCATGTTCAAAAGTATTAATTTTTGCACCATACAGGAAGTTGTTTCGGGTCACTTAGCAAGAGCTGTGAAAAGTAGCCGCACTGGAATAGGAATATATTTTTTTTTTACTGGCGTGGGCGTGGAACGGAACGACTTTTCCGATCCTCAAGGTGGAAAAGGAATATGCGACCGCCAAGCAGCGACTATTAAAGGAGACATTGGAAGATATGTAAACGAGGGCAATGATGTGACAACAGCAATTCAGCTCAAAACAGCCATAGAGTCTGGTCCAGGATCTTGTGCTAAGGCTAGTTACGTTACATTCAACCCGTCAAGCACTCGGCACGTCAAATGGGATGGTGTAAGCTTACTCAACAACTTCAAGTATGAGGAGGACGGAATTAATGTGGGTCCTGGAAAGTTGCTACCGTGGTCTCAGTTTGAAGGAGTTTTGCAGGTCCCGGAAACTCTTGAAGTGGTTGATCCCCATCGCAGAAATTGAGTACTAAGCCATCTTTCAAGAAGGTGAGACACAGACATTGTGAACATTTCTCAGGTGCTCTTTCCTCATACACACTAAGCATCTTTCTGCATTTTACGCAAATTCCTTTAGAAAAACATAGTCAAACTCCCGTCAAAACTCCGAAATTACTGAAAGGCGCGTATTTTTTTAACACAAAAGTCTGAAGTTTTGTCGACCCACAGAATAAAATAACAATCGAAAGTTGACTGCGCGATAAGAGGTGAGAAGAAGGGGGGAGGGAGTAGCATTGTGATTAGACTATCCTTTTTTTTTTGTTTATTGTTTATATCTTTCTCAAGTGGCTTTTTGCGAAACGAAATTGAAATGTTTTAAACAAATTTTAACCGAATTCCAGGTGCGTACTGTAAGTTACAGACCGTGAAACGAGGTTAGTACGATATTCATTATGTCTCTGAGGTCAATCGGGCGCGTGGGAATGGAAACTAGTTAAAGTTTAGTGGGCCGCGCAAAATTGACCAATCACACCCCGCGTACGAACTGAGAGATACTGATAAAAAATAGGAACTCATTGTATACATGTGGGTAGTGCTGTGCACGCGCTGCGGACCTGTTTGTTTACGGACACCGGCACTCACTCACTCACTCACTCACATACCTGGCGACAAAGTGGGTAAGGCACTATACAGTGCACACACTAATATAAGCGCAATCCATAAAAAAATGAGAGGCATGAAATAAAGGTTGTTATAAAAAAATTGGATTGGACAACTGGATGAAGAGATAAGTAACGAAATGTCCTTCATCAACCTTACTTATTTCTCTCCGTCGTTTAAACAAATGATTCTTTCATATAATCTCAAGTCATCAGAATGAATAGACTAAAAATAATTCATTGGAGACAGTTTCTGTTTGGTAGAACATCAAGTAGTTGGTTGCTTAACTGAGCCCACAGGGACGAGCTGTTTTGAAAGCTCAAATATCTTCATGGATTGGAATAAATTTATTCCTTTTTCCAGTGCGGGTGCCTTCCTCAGCTCCTTGCAGTGACCAGAAACAACTTCCGGGATGGTGCAAAGATTACCCGTCCTTCGCCTACCTAAACCTAACTTGGCACGATGAACCGGACAGATAGTCATATCCGATAAATTCGCCGGCTTTTTGAAAACATCCACATCTTGCCAAAATTAATTCTACCTCCGTTTCAATTCCGGAAAATTTAAACGACTTTTTGTTATTTTTGATATCCCTGTTACACCGCGTAAGAGGCGTGACGGAAGTTAAAGAACTTGTGCGTTCGTCTGCGCCGCAAATCCCACCAACAATATTCAAGAACGAGCAAGACATCGCTGTTCTATGAAGTTCCCCGACAATAAACTCTGGTTTTAGATGCAATGTTTCACAGATAAAGATAATTCGATTTATTTATTTAAAGAACGATGCAATTTTCGTGAGAACAGGTACTTCTGATTGGCTATCGACGGCATAAAGCTTCTCATTCTTAATAAAATCAATTCTTATCGTTTCAGTTTGAATTGCTATTATGATATTTTCTTTTATTTTTACTTCAGCAAGTTAACTGGGGAACCTGGCACATCGTTGAGTAAGATATTTTAAAATAAGACTTATTGTAAATTAACAGAAGTAGATATCTGTTTGTTACTGTACTAATTGTAGCGAAGTCGCTCGTGCGTGACACAGATTAAGGAGCGAGCCTGTCAAATTTAATTTCAGCTCGTGGTAATTTTGGTGTTTCATAGTTTTTTTTTACCTGTGTAGACAATATTTAACATCAATATATATTTTTAAAAGGTTCAAACCGCTAAAAAAGTAAAACCCTCATGTTTTATGTACAAACTTTGGCCGAGGAGTTAATTTATTCAATAGTGCATTGTTATGTAGAGTTGTAGATTTCAAAGGCGCTCAATTGGAATTTTATCGAATTTTGATCGGCGTTCATGCAAAAGTGCTACTAGATCCTAAAGATTTAAAACCGTAGACCTAAAAATCAATGACTGAACTGTCTTTGGTTATAATATCAGAAGATTTGAAGAACTACCGGTCAGCTTTTTTCGTCGCTGAGTTTGGATTACTTTACACCTTCGCGTAAATGAGAAAAGTGTGTCTTCTTAATCGGGTCTCAGTTCGCTCACAAATAAGCAGAGATAAAAATAATTCCCATGGTTTGACTAAGGAAGAATCAATGTAGTCAATTATACTTAAGAAAGATTCACAGCTATGTAAACGTCTGTGTAGCGAGAAGCTGAAAAGTGTAAAATTTCGAGTTTCCGCCAGGTGAAATCCGAGCTTCCGGTAGGGTGACCGTTTTTCGTGGTTTTCTGCCGTTATATGGAATATTTCAAAAAACTAACCTCATATCCTTCAGTTACTTACCTAGGCCTTCAAACTGACAAAGTATGAGTGAAATCGATTTTTTGACCGTGGCCACGATTTCTTTGATTTTTACTGACAATCACTCTTAACTCCCTTTGGTGACCAGGACAGAATTTCTCCTTACACTACCAATACAATATCAAGCAGACAAGTGATGAGAATAAAGAAAATATCAATTAGAGGATTAGTTGATCCAATACCAAATTCCCTAAACTAGCATCATAAGAATCGTATGGCAAACAGCAAGACAAATAACTAATAATGAAATCTAGGGAGGGAAAAGGTTAATTATAACAACAATAGTTGTAATGATAGTAATTCCTCTCTGTTGTCGGCAGCGCGCTTCAGCACTCATCGATTCTCCAGAGCAGAGGAAGAGAGGGCTTCTTTAATTTATAACTACAAACCAACTGCTGTTCAAGACTACTTGCCTTTTATACAAGCTTACTTTTTTTAAGGTCACTCAACGACGACCTGTAGAAATCCTTTACAGAAAAGATCACTTAAACGAACAACAGACGAATAAACCGAACGGCGGTAAAGGTTTTCACGATCGCCAATGGAAATTACCGCCAACAAAACCTTTTTCTATCTGTATTTTCCACACTAGTGAAACAATACTAACAACATACAGGGAATGTGAATTTATGAAAGGTCTAGTTTTTGTAATTATTCATCTTTCTATGCCCTAATTATGGCTGAAATGACTATTGTAAAAGTAAGTTTATTATCCTTTTAAATCAAACTATAAAAACAACAAATCTGCGTGCGTGCGTTTCGTGGTCGTTTCTATCGGAAAGGGGGGAGGCGGGGGGAGGTGTGGGAAGGGCTAGAGCATCAGGTTTGTCGTTAAGATTCATCTCAGTTGAATTTAAATCTGATTAAGCTGAAACATTCAATGATATCAGTTAGGGATATATTTTAGTGCATCACCTTCGTCCACCTAACTCTTCAATGGTTATTTCTGAATCCTCATTGAGATATCCTCCAATGGGAATAAGCGATTTAAGAGCTAATGTCGTCATGCATCAGATAAACAGCGGCAAGTCCCCAAAATTCGTTTTCTCTCCTACTTTCATATTCTGTAGCCCAATATGTCCTAATGATTGTGGTGTAGTTTTTTGGTGAAAATATATTTTAGTTTTCGAGAAATGATCTTTTTCGTTCGACCGCTCAAATATGCAAATTTTCACCGTGAATATTACCCGAGTTGTGTGACCTCATGTAACGAATTTACTTGACCTCCGATATTTCTGTCAGCATAATCCTTTGTTTTCGTAGTAGGGGAGAAAACGAATTTTGGGCGACTTGCCACAATATTTCAAATTTGTTCGATGGATGCTGACATCCTCTCTTAAAAAAAAGGGACATATGCGGGATTTTGTTTCAAACCGGGATCCTTTCTTATTTCTTAAACAGAAACAAACAAAATGGATCCAAATCTACCCTATTTATGATAGTGAAAGTTACCTTTTTAACCATATTTATAAAACTGCCTCGAAAGGTCCGCGAAGGTAGCGTAACACCCAATTTGCACAATCCCTCTGAGCATTAGACAGCTCACTCGAACTCCCCTGTATCTCGTGCTGTTTTATGCTTCCCTAAACATTTCAAATACACGGAGTTCACTTGACTTAAACTCGTAAAAATTCAGCCTGTTTTCCAAGAACTTTCTTGAATCTGGCCTTTCGGGAATTAAGTGTTTAAACTTGAACCCTGCAGAGTCGCTATGAATGTTGGGTCAAAATTCTTCCGAACTGACTGAGGAACCAAGAAACAAAAGGATTCGTATTCTTTCCGATCAGTAAAATTCCATGACTTTGCAGGACTTTTTACAAGACTTTGTTGATGTTTTCCATACCCTTTTACCAAAACGTTGCTTTCACGGATGGTACGCGATCATTGGATTGGGGCATTTCTTCGTTGCTGATTATTTTGGGAAAATCCGCAAGAAAACTTCCACGACTTTCTAGGTTAACGATAAGTTCATTAACCACTGTGACAATAGGTTTTCCAGCTGCAATATATTTTTAGGTTTCCTCACTTGAACGCTGTCAAATCGGGGAAATAGCTCGGCGGGAACGGAAACTTGATATCATTTCCTGGCACACGGAGATCAACCTCAATGGCGTTCTTACCGAGCTCAAGGAGACAAGGATTTTTAAAATAGTCAGCACTCGGTTCCAACATTAATTTATTGGGAATTTATCGTAATAAGTAATGGTAATCGGTCTGTAATCATACGAGTGATAACACTGAGGATTCCCTGTGAATGCGGCAAGGTGTATATCGGAGAGACTGGAATTAAGGAGCATGATCGAGACATCCGACTGGCCCGTACCGAGACCTCCGCCGTTTCAGAGCATGCCCACAACACCGGAACCAAGCCACTCTGGAACGAAGTAAAGTTTATTGATCGTGACCCTTATTACTACACGCGCAGGGTTAACTGGAGGCAATTCATATAAGACTTCACCCTGACAACATCAACAGGGAGAGTGGAATAGAAATTCTAGAAGCGTGGATGCCCACGATCAAAAAACACAACAACAGGAGAGCCGTGCGACAGCGGACCGCCGAGGGAGCAAATCACTGAGTGAAACAGCAAGAATCGAAATGCACCAATCAGAGCTGTTTAAAAACAACCAGTCACAGCAGAGCATCATGCTTTATAAGATCACGCATGACCAGTCGACCTCATCGCCTGAAGAAGAATAGCAGTATGCAGTCGAAACGTCGCGATCTACATCACACGTGACTACATCGTGAGACAAACCAAAAACTTAGCTTTTATTGTTATTCACCACGATGACTAACCACGGTCTTTTTTACGAAATTATTTCGAGAATATAATGTCCAAGTAAAGTAACAGGAAGATAACTTATTCGATTGATAACAACTTATTGAAATTATCGCAAGGATATCTTTTCAGCTGCACGCCTATAATTATGAGTAGAAGTACGGCTCGATAAAATTGAAAACGTAGGATGTTTGGCTACTAAATGAGCTAAGGCTACGATAGCATCGTCAAAGGAACAGTTTCCAAACAGTGTGCAGTTTGTGCTCGTTAATTGAAAAGCTGAACTACTGTTGGCTTTAAAACTTTTCTTTACAGCAAAGCTGTCTAAGGTTAAAAAAAATTGCCAGATAGGAATTGCCTGTTGTTTGACAAAAGATAAAGAATATCCTCATTTAAATTTATAAAAAGAAGAGGACAGCCAATCGAAACAAATCAAAACACGAACAAGTCTATTCCACCTATTCGGAAAGGTTTTGATGTCAAGAAACATGCTGAACATGGGTAGTCACGAACAATACTAATTCGAAATTTAATCTCGTGAGTTGTATTCAAATCTTCCGGTTATGTTACGAAATAATTCCTTTCATTGTCTCGTCTGGGAATCTCAGTAATTCAAGAAAATGACTTGTAACTAATTCTTACGATTTCTGTCCTCCTATTTCTCACTCCTTTTTTGTCTTTCGCTTTTTAGAGGATTTAACACTACTTTCAAACGAGCTTTGACTCAAGGCATCGATCCTATCGTTTATAACTGGAGCAAGACTATCTCCACCTGCACGTTTCCGGGAACGGTAGTTAATAGGAGGAACATGACACTCCTCGGCTTCCTGTAAAATGTCCTGACCCAAATAAACAGACTTCACGAGACTTTTGGTAGCTGGTACAGACGCATCATAAACACGCACAGGTCGTGGCTTTTTTACCCAAGTTATTGTAGCTAGTTGCCACGTCTACATTCTCAGGTCGTCGCTTTCTCTGTCTAATACTCAGAGCAAGTTGGTGATACTCCTTGGCCTTCTCAAGGTCGCCCAGTTTGGAGTGCACCAGACCCAAGTTATTGTAACTAGTTGCCACTTGTACATTCTCAGGTCCTACCTTTTCCTTTTTAATACTCAGAGCAAGTTCGTGATACTCCTTGGCCTTCTCAAAGTCGCCCAGTTGTTTGTGCACCAGACCCAAGTTATTGTAACTAGTTGCCACTTATACATTCTCAGGTCCTAGCTTTTTCTGTCTAATACTCAGAGCAAGTTCGTGATACTCCTTGGCCTTCTCAAAGTCGCCCAGTTTGAAGTGCACCAGACCCAAGTTATTGTAACTAGTTGCCACTTGTACATTCTCAGGTCCTAGCTTTTTCTGTTTAATACTCAGAGCAAGTTCGTGATACTCCTTGGCCTTCTCAAAGTCGCCCAGTTTGAAGTGCACCAGACCCAAGTTATTGTAACTAGTTGCCACTTGTACATTCTCAGGTCCTAGCTTTTTCTGTCTAATACTCAGAGCAAGTTCGTGATACTCCTTGGCCTTCTCAAAGTCGCCCAGTTTGGAGTGCACCAGACCCAAGTTATTGTAACTAGTTGCCACTTGTACATTCTCAGCTTCTAGCTTTTTCTTTTTAATACTCAGAGCAAGTTCGTGATACTCCTTGGCCTTCTCAAAGTCGCCCAGTTGTTCGTAAACAGAACCCAAGTTATTGTAACTAGTTGCCACTTGTAGATTCTCAGGTGCTAGCTTTTTCTGTCTAATACTCAGAGCAAGTTCGTGATACTCCTTGGCCTTCTCAAAGTCGCCCAGTTGTTCGTAAACAGAACCCAAGTTATTGTAACTAGTTGCCACTTGTACATTCTCAGGTCCTAGCTTTTTCTGTCTAATACTCAGAGCAAGTTCGTGATACTCCTTGGCCTTCTCAAAGTCGCCCAGTTTGAAGTGCACTAGACCCAACTTATTGTAACTAGTTGCCACTTGTACATTCTCAGGTCCTAGCTTTTTCTTTTTAATACTCAGAGCAAGTTCGTGATACTCCTTGGCCTTCTCAAAGTCGCCCAGTTTGGAGTGCACCAGACCCAAGTTATTGTAACTAGTTGCCACTTGTACATTCTCAGGTCCTAGCTTTTTCTGGTAAATACTCAGAGCAAGTTCGTGATACTCCTTGGCCTTCTCAAAGTCGCCCAGTTTGAAGTGCACCAGACCCAAGTTATTGTAACTAGTTGCCACTTGTACATTCTCAGGTCCTAGCTTTTTCTGTCTAATACTCAGAGCAAGTTCGTGATACTCCTTGGCCTTCTCAAAGTCGCCCAGTTTGGAGTGCACCAGACCCAAGTTATTGTAACTAGTTGCCACTTGTACATTCTCAGCTTCTAGCTTTTTCTTTTTAATACTCAGAGCAAGTTCATGATACTCCTTGGCCTTCTCAAAGTCGCCCAGTTGTTCGTAAACAGAACCCAAGTTATTGTAACTAGTTGCCACTTGTACATTCTCAGGTCCTAGCTTTTTCTGGTAAATACTCAGAGCAAGTTCGTGATACTCCTTGGCCTTCTCAAAGTCGCCCAGTTTGAAGTGCACCAGACCCAAGTTATTGTAACTAGTTGCCACTTGTACATTCTCAGGTCCTAGCTTTTTCTTTTTAATACTCAGAGCAAGTTCGTGATACTCCTTGGCCTTCT